TCCCCATCCCCGTGCCTCCATCCTCATCCTCGCCCTCGGCTCCACAGCCCCGGGATGCTCCCGCCCGGAGGGGGCGATGGGGGGGCCGGAGCCGGGGCTGGTTTACACCGCGGAGGTGTTGGATGGTGGGGAATACCCGATTCCAGGGGCTGATCCCGAGGGTGCTGAGCAGGATGAGGCCGGGATGAGGTGGGGGTGTCCCCAGGGAGAGCAGATGGAGGCTGAAGCATCCTCAGCCCCCCAGCGGAGAGGCTTGGCTGGGGTGAGGAATGCAGTGGGGCACATCCTGCCTTTCCCCCAGCTCTGCTCGTCCCAGTGGGAATTTGCCCCTGCCGGGGTAACGCTGGTGCTGTAAGGGTGGAAAAAATCCCCCTGCCAACAGTTGGGCCTCATCCTGCGTGTCCCCAGTGCTGCTGGTGCAGCTGAGCCTGGGCAGCTCCTGGGTCTGACCCTGGTACAGCTCCAGGGAAAACAGGAGCAGCAGGGAGCTACAGGCTGGGTGAGGGTTGGGGAAACTGAGGCAGGTTGGGGGGTCAGATTCCCTTAAGCTCCATCCTCCAGTGAGCACCCATCCATCCGTAATTACAGCTAATTAATCCAGCAGTGAGAGCGTTCTCTATGCAAGTGGGGAGGTCTCAGCTGGTGTTCCCAATATCTCCATGGTTTCCTGGTTCCTGGAGGGCCTTGGACCCGTCACCAGTATTTGGCTCTAGAGAAGAGGTTCCTCCATGCTTGGTTCCATCAGCAGCCCGGTGGGGAGCAGGGAAACTGAGGCACAGCTCTGTCCTGGAGCGGGATCTGGCCAGGATCCCTCTCCATTGCTCCCTGGGCACCATGAGGGGCATGGTGGGCTCTCTCCATGGTGAGGATGGCCAAACTTCTTCCTGTGGCTGCAGAGCAGCGTCACAGCTCATTGTGTCCCACTGGGGAGGACACAGCCCCATGTGTCCAGGGGCCCATCCCACAAGACTGAGGACATCTGGGGTGTCTCACATCCAGGGTCTCTGGAGATTCTGCACATGCAAAACTTCTGGGGTATCTGTGCATCCAGGGCATCTCTGCACCAAAAGCTTTTGGGATGTCTCTGCACCTGGAGTCTCTCTTTCCCATGCAGAACCTTTGGGGTGTCTCTGCACCCAGAATCTCTGGGGTGTATCCAAACACAAAACTTCTGGGGTATCAGTGCACCTCTGGAGCATTTCTGCATCTCAGGGCCCTTGGGGCATCTCCCACCGAAATCTCTTGGGGTGTCTCCCACCCAGCAGCCTCGAAGCGTTTCACACCCAGAACCTCTGGGGTGTCTCTGCTCCCAGAGCCTTCGGAACATCCCACTCCCAACACCTTTGGGGTGTCCACTCCCTGGGCCCTGGAGCACTGCCCCCAGGCTGAGCTGCACACAGGAGGGGTCCCCGAGCCCCACGGCAAGGAGACCCCGGCCCGTGTGCCCCCCGGGCTCCCAGCCCCGCACCGCCGGTCCTGCCCCAGGGTGCCCGGGGCGCGGGGCGGGAGGCGAATTCCTGCGGGTCCGCTCGCAGCCGCTCCAGAGGGCTCCGGCTCCGACCCATGTAGGGCTGTGAGCTCCAGGGCGGGCTCCTGACGCGGCCGCGGAGCAAAGCAGGCGTCTGTGCGCTCGGTGTCATGTACTTCCTAATCCTCCCGGATTCCTCCATCGGGCTGCAGAGGCAGCGCAGGGGAGCTGGACGCCAGCCGGGCTCTCCGGCGCTCAGCCTCCCCAGCCGGGCCCCGCTCACCCCAAAACCTGCCGTGTGTGTTCTCCCCCGGCAGGACATGAGGAAACACGTCATCATGACCCTGCTGGACACCGAGCAGTCCTACGTGGAGTCCCTGCGCACCTTGATGCAGGTAAGGGGGCACGGCCGCGGTGTGACACCCCAGGATCCGCCCTGTCACCCCAAATCCTGGCTCTGGGATGTGCCACGAGCTGGGTGCCGCCGGGGGGATGCTGGGGACAGCGGGAGCACAGCTGTGACAGCGGTGCCAAGAACGGGGTGTAGGATTTACCTCCATGCCCAAAGCGAGCCTGTGGCATTCCCAGTGTGCTGTCACCTGGCAGGTGGCTGTCCCCAAGCCTCTTGCCGTGCTTGCCTTCCAAAATCTCCTCCTCGTGCTGCCTGCCACGGTGGGGGACCCTTGAAATTCCCCATTCCCCCGTGCTCCCGTTTCCTGCTGGGATCGTCACCTGCAGAGCTGAGCCAAAGGTTTTTCTCAGGCTTTTTTTGCTGAGCTGGTTCCAAACCCCCTGGAGCAGCCTGGCCCGAGGGCCCACCCCACATTTACCATTTCAGATGCTAATGAAGGTGTTTCAGCAGGTTAATGACAGTCAACGCCCTGGAGACGTCACCTGGCCGAGGTGTGGCTTGTCCAGCCACATCCCTGCAGGGGGGGGAACACCAAAAACTGAGCTCTGCAAAAGCAGCAGGGCCTGTGGGATCTGTGACAGTCCCCAGGGGCATGGGGCACTCCATCCCACCCTGCAGCAGGGCCTGTGGGATCTGTGACAGTCCCCAGGGGTATGGGGCACTCCATCCCACCCTGCAGCAGGGCCTGTGGGATCTGTGACAGTCCCCAGGGGTATGGGGCACTCCATCCCACCCTGCAGCAGGGCCTGTGGGATCTGTGACAGTCCCCAGGGGTATGGGGCACTCCATCCCACCCTGAGCAGGGCCTGTGGGATCTGTGACAGTCCCCAGGGGCATGGGGCACTCCATCCCACCCTGCAGCAGGGCCTGTGGGATCTGTGACAGTCCCCAGGGGCATGGGGCACTCCATCCCACCCTGAGCAGGGCCTGTGGGATCTGTGACAGTCCCCAGGGGCATGGGGCACTCCATCCCACCCTGCCTGGGCTCTTCCCATAAATGTCCCACAAGGATGTCCCCAGGGTGGACACAGATGTGCTGCAGGAGGGGAGGACCCAGTGACTGCTGCCAGAGCAGACCTTGGCTTAGAGGGGCCAGAGGGCTCTGGGGCTGCAGCAAGGGCTGTCTCCATGCTCCTCTGCCCAATGTGGGAATGCCTGGCACAGTCCATCCCAGCTCCTGCTGCAGGTGCTGGACACAGCAGGACAGGTGAAGGGAGTTAGGAGCCTCAGGATGGATTTGGTCCTTCTAACTTGGACCAAATCTTTCCACGAGATATCTGGCATCAGCTTGAGGAAAGTGATCCCTGGGGAATGACTCCTCCTTGACCAGCTTGGTTGGAGAGCTCTGAAGCCACTGGAGATGGGTCCTGTCCTCACTGCTCAGCTCCATGGTCCTCCACACATCCTGACAGCCACCAGCATCCTGAACTGGTCAGACTGAGTGGGGGGCAAGGCTTGAGACACCTTCCACATCCTGCTGCATCCCCTGCAAATCCATGTCTCCCATTCCAGGGGCGCTCTGCAGCTCTGCCCCGTCCATGGACAATGTCCACATCCTCCATGGATGGAGGAGAGGGGTTTCATAGCAGAGCCACCCACCAGCCCTGCTGGGGACCTGCTGGCCCTGAGTATTGCTCCTTGGCCATTGTGTGGTGGTGGTCCAGGGCGTGACCCAGTGGGTGCATCCTGCTGGTCCAGCCCCTCCTGATGCCAAACACCCTAAATTCCACAGGAACACTCTGGCATTTGGATCCTGGTGTTGCTGTGATTTCCAAGCTAGGTCAGGCAGATGGAGGTGGTGAAGGCTCATGGCAGCAAAGATAGCTCTGGAGGCCCTGGGACAGAGGATCCTGTGCCATGCAGGTTCCTGGTGCAGAGCTGTCCCTCTCCCCACACAGCTCTGGGGATTCACTGAGGAGGCTGGGCTACAAAACCACTCTGGTCCTGCCGATGGGTCCCTGGAGGAAGCCCCTGCTGCAGGGTGCCATCCATGCCCGTGTTTACATGGGCTGAGGGACCCAGACTGGCTGGGGAGGGACAGGGAACGCCCATGGGTGCCAGTGCCTGTGCCTGCCCACAGGGGTACATGAAGCCGCTGAAGCAGCCGGAGAACTCCCTGCTCTGCGACCCCTCGCTGGTGGACGAGATCTTCGACCAGATCCCCGAGCTGCTGGAGCACCACGAGCAGTTCCTGGAGCAGATCCACGACTGCGTGCAGAACTGGCACGAGAAGCAGAAAGTGGGCGACCTCCTGGTGCAGTCGGTGGGTCCTGGCGGGGTGATTTCCCCGGGAATGCGGGCGTGCCCGCTGCTGGGCATGGCCCCAGAGCAGAGGTTTGGGAGCAGGAGGCAGGCAGGGATGAAAGGATGGGCCAGGCAGGCCTGGGATGCAGAGCAGGAGACGATCTCCAGGCCTGCTGTCTGCTTAGCATAAGGGTGGGAGCTGCTGCTCCCGGCTGGCTCTGCAGCTCTGCGTTTCTGCCTCGGGAGCACAAACGTCAGGGCTGAAAAATCGAGGTGGGCGGACGGCGGGTGAGCCCTCCCTGCGCCAGCCCAGAGCCACAGTTAACCCTTGGGGCAGCTTCTCCCGTGATCCATGATGCTGGATCCCTGTTTTCCCCCCACCCAGTTCTCCAAGGATGTGCTGGTGAACATCTACTCTGCCTACATCGATAACTTCCTCAACGCCAAGGACGCCGTCAGGATCGCCAAGGAAGCCCGGCCGGCTTTCATGAAGTTCCTGGAGGTGGGTCTGGTTCCTGCCTCCAGAAATCCTGGCCACCATCTAGAACCAGGCAGAATGGGAGCAAATTTATTGCCAGACTGGGAATTTCCTCCCCACACACCTTGGTTTTGTTGCAAAGAGGGGTGAACTGGAATCAGTGTGGGTGGTGTGGAGGTTTGGACTCCACACCAAAATGGGTGATCCTGGCTCAGTGGGAGGCTGTGTCCCTGCTGTGTCCCACCGGGGGGCCCATCCCTGTCCCTCCTGGCTGTTTTGCAGCAAAGCATGCGGGAGAACAAGGAGAAGCAGGCCCTGTCAGACCTGATGATCAAGCCTGTGCAGAGGATCCCGCGATACGAGCTGCTGGTGAAGGTGGGTGACACCGGGGGGGTGGCAGTGTCACACCAGCAGCGGGGAGGCCACGGCTCCTCCTCACCTCTGTGCAGCTTTCAGGGCTCTCAGATCTCTCCTGACCCCTTTTCCCACCCTCTGTCACAAAGTTGGTGTCCCCAGGTGTGCTCTGGAGATGGTCACTCTGAGGACACTCCCCCTGCTGTCCCCTTACCCTCAGCCTTTCTGCTGGACATGTCCACCCCTCCTTGGGGCTGCTTCCACCCCCAGCACTCAGAGCAGCGTGTGAGGGGCTGGGGCAGTGACCCTGGTGCTGCCAGAGGTGACAGCCTGGCCGTGTCCCCCCCTGGCAGGACCTGCTGAAGCACACGCCCGAGGACCACCCCGACCACCCGTTCCTCATCGACGCCCAGCGCAACATCAAGCAGGTGGCAGAGAGGATCAACAAGGGCATGAAGAGCGCCGAGGAGGTGGAGAGGAACGCCCGCATCGTGCAGGAGATCGAGTCCCACATCGAAGGGATGGAGGATGTATGTTTGGGGGGGGGGCTTGAATGCGCTCACGCTTTCCTTCTCCACCAAATGTCCTCATTTCTGCTGTCTTGGGTCACCCCAGGCTGGGTCACTTGTTTGCTCCTCCAGGTGCAGCTTTCCCCATCATCATTTGGTCTTTGTGGGCCCCTGGGGGTTTGGGAAGGGACTGGGGTTCCATTTCTGAGCTGGGGGATGCATGAAGGCCACAAAGCTCCCCACAGTGCCTTCCCAACCATGGCTGTCCTTGTCCCCACAGCTCCAGGCTCCGCTCCGCAGGTTCCTGCGCCAGGAGATGGTGGTGGAAGTGGTAAGAGTGGGATCTGAGGGGAAATGGGACCCTCTGGGTGGGCAGTGGGAGGCTGTGAGTGCAGCCATGGGGTGCCTGTGTGCCCATGGGAGGCTATGGATGGATGGATGAATGGATGGATGGATGGAACAGACAGATGGCAAGGCAGCACATGGGGAAACTGAGGCAGGGCCATCTCCCAGCACAAATGGTCACTAACCCCCAGGTGTCTCCCACTGCTCCACAGAAGGCGGTGGGTGGGAAGAAGGACCGCTCCTTCTTCCTCTTCTCGGACCTGCTGGTGTGCACCACGCTGAAGCGCAAGTCGGGCTCGCTCCGCCGCAGCTCCATGAGCCTGTGAGTACCCCCAGGCTTGGGGACACCCCCTGGGTGTCCCTGCCAGCTGGCCTGGCTTTGGGGGCTGTGGCTGTGGGTGCAGCTCGGCCATCCCCCACAACCTCCCAGGTACACGGCAGCCAGCGTGATCGACACCGCCAGCAAGTACAAGCTGCTCTGGAAGCTGCCCCTGGAGGATGTGGACATTGTCAAAGGTCTGTCACCGCCTGCTGGGGTGTCCCATCTCACCCCAAAACCCATGGCTGCCCCTGGCTGGCAGCGCCAGGGAGGAAGGGGTTAATGCCGTGCGTGTGTCCCCGCACAGGTGCCTCGCAGGCCACCAACAGGGAGAGCATCCAGAAGAGCATCAGCCGCCTGGATGAAGACCTCAACACGCTGGGGCAAGTCAGCAAGCTGTCAGAGACCCTCAGCTTCCCCCACCAGGTATGGGGATGGCTGTCCCCTGGTTGGATATGTCCCAGTGGAACACACAGCATGTCCTCAGCCAGAGGGGACAGCCTGTGGCAAGGCTGGTGGCCATAAGCACCCTGAAGCCACAGAAGAGGCTGGGGCAGCCTCTGAAGGATGCCAGGGGATGGACAGGGGGTTATCAAGCATGTGCCTTGTGGTGGCCTGTCCCTGAGAGCTGAAGCATTGTCCCCATCCCAAGGGCCTGGATGACGTGATCAAGGACCTGATGGCCGCCATCCACCGGGAGCTGTCGGAGAAGCAGTCCCTGTCCTTCAGCATGGCCTTCCCCCCCAACAAGGTGGAGCTCAGCACCACCAAGGCTGACGGCACCGAGTCCTTCATCTTCGAGTTCCCCAACCCCGACGCCCGGCTCGGCTTCGAGCAAGCCTTCGAGGATGCCAAGAAAAAGCTGGGTAACAGCAGGGAGGGGGCAGCTGGACGTGGTGCTGGGCTTGGCATCCCCCCCACCCCGCTTTTACAGACCCCTTTTGATCCCCCAATCTGATCTTCCCAGCCTCCAGCAAAAACTGCCTGGACCCAGAGTTCCTCAAAGCCATCCCCATCATGAAGACGCGGAGTGGGATGCAGGTACTCAAAGTCTGGGCTCAGGCACCCCACAGGTCCCCCCCATTCCAGGGCTGCCAGGCAGCTCCTGCATCCCCCACTGAATCACCCAACCTTGTGCTCCCCCGCAGTTCTCCTGCGCCTCTCCCAGCCACGGCAGCCCGGAGAGCTCGCACGAGGTTTGGGTTTGCAACAGCGACGGCTACGTGGGGCAGGTTTGCCTGCTGAGCATCCGCAAGGAGCCCACGGTGGAGGCCTGCATCGCCGTCTGCTCCNGGGAACACAGACAGGACAAGGGGAAACAGCCCCATCAAACAGTGCCAGGGAAGGTTCGGGTTGGGTAGTGACAGCCATGGATGGGTGACACTGAGTGGCCCCTGGCACCCGGGGTGGTGCAAAGGGGCCAATCCAGGCTCACCTGTGGTCCATCCCTTGTCCTCCACAGCAGGCACCTGGCCTGGGGGCTGCCTCGGGGGTCGGTGGCTGTTGTATTTCATATTTCTGGAGTCCCATACCTTCTCGGTGATATTTCTTGGGGACAGTTCTTCACAGCACAGACTCCTTCCTCTGCCTGTTGCTGCTTCTCAGCCAGGGCTCCTTCCAGACTGTCCCTGCCTGGCCAAGCCCACCCCCTTTTATCCCAGTTACCTTCACTGGGCCACAGCTGCAGCCCATCTAGAACAACTAGGGCTTATCAGGGCAAGGCCTATATACAGATATTATACAGATATTCAAATACAATACAGATATTTTACTAGGACTCCTACTGTAGGTGACAGCCACAAAGACCCCGTGGAGGACACGGGTGCTGTGTGAAAGCCAGTCCTGCCCAGAGCTGCCAAGTGCTGGAGGTGGCAGCTCAGCTCCTGCTCCTGCCACCGACGTGTCCAAGGGCAGCACAGCAAATCCAGCGTCTCGCTCGGCTGCTGAGAAGGGTTCTCTGTCCCTGAGGCCTGGTGGTGGCCACAGCGTGGTGGCCTCATAGAAGGTGACTCCAGGAGCTGCGATGCCAGGGGTGGTGGCCACAGGAATCATCATCTCTGGGAACCATGATGCCACCACACAGCTCCACTGGAAGCACAGAGGGCACTGGATGCCATTTCGTGGTCACCTTCTGGGTGTGTTGAGCTCTCCAGGACCATCATGAACTCCTGATTTCCCTCCATCACCTGGTGCCAGTGCTCAGCATCGCAGGATCATGAATCACTGGATCACAGAGTGACTCCTCCCTTCCCAAAGCCCAGCTGGGGCATGGATTGCTGGTCTCCTGCATCCATCCATCCATCCTCTCTCCAAAGTCCCAGTTCAGGAGCACATGCTGGTGATGCTCACCATGCAGATGACACATTTCACTTTCCATAGGAATTGCTTCTGCGGGATCACGCTGGCTTGGCTGTGTTGGGATCACTGGGATAACCCACCCAATGGTGGGCTGGAGACCATCAGCCTCAACCATCAACCCAAAAAAGGGTTTATGGCTGGTCCCATTCACCTCCCCACGACATCACCGTGCCAAAAAACCAACCACCAAACCCTCTCGGGCTCTTTTATTTATTTATTTAATTTTTTTTGGAAACATTTTAATAGTTATCGAATGTTCTACATCTTACAGTAAATATCGTACAGTTACAAACTCTTGGCTGAAATCTGTCAGGGAGATCACGACCTGATCTTCAGAACCAAAACCAGAACATAAAACAAACGGGAAAACAACCCCAAATTTACACTTCAGATGGACAAACTGAGGCTGTGGGGCTCTCCAGGGCATCAGTCCAAGGCCATGTTCCCTACACACCTGTGAGATGTAGACTTGGAAGACGTGGTTACTCTTGGGTTTAAATTGTTTTTTGTTGCTGTTCTTTCAAGGAATATTTTCTTTTTTGGTATTTATTTTTATTTAAGAGGTCAAATAATACTTAAAAATGAGCTGGTCTGGTGGTTGAAATCAATTTAAAATTAATTACATAGAAAGAGGGGTGGGAACCCGGTGTGGGTCGAGGCCATGTTGTGGGAATGGGAGGGTTTGGGTGTGATCCTGCACCTTGCAATGCTTCCCTACAACTCCCTCCCCTGACCCTGAACCCCTCTTCCCCCTGGAAAATTCCATCTCTTGCAGGAGGATGCAGGAAGGCTGCAGGTGGCCATGTTGCATCAAGATTATTCCCTACAAGCAGCACAGTCGAGCGTTTCCAAATGGGAATCGCTCCTGTCAAACCACAAATTCTGCTTTTCCTGCCCTGCAAGCATTCCCACAAGTTCTTTCACCTGATTGCCAGAGAATCTCCAAGTGCCATGGTGCAACATGCCACAGGAATGCCTTTTCCAAGGATTTCCTCCCTCCCAAGCTCCCTCACAGGCTTTATTTTCTTTTCTTTTCTTTTTTTTTTCCCCAAAGGGAATGCTAACACATAGCAGAGAAAATATTTGGAGGCTGATCCTGGCTTGGGAGCAAAGTGAAGGGAAGACGGGCAGAGGGTCACCACAGCTGGAGGGCCGGAAAATATTGGCAATTAAAAACAAAAAAAAGCCCAAATCAAAAATACCTGGATTTATGGGTATCCAGCAGCTCTTATTGCTATTGTTGGCTGGTTGGATTTTACCAAAAATAAAGCCTCAAATGTTGTTTTCCACCCTGCTGAAAAGCCAGGATCCCATTTGATGCCCTCTAGCTGGGAACCACATCGTCCCCACATTCCCAGAGGGGATGGCAAAGAGTCAGGGGTCGCTCTGGGAAGGACCAGATTCAGTGGGATGCTGGGGGCTGGGAGAAAACCTGATGCTCTGAACATCCCTCATTAAAACAAACCCCTTAAATAACATTTCCTGGGAATTACATCCCAAAACTGAAACCATGCTGAACTGAGTGATTTATTATTCATAAAATGCAGTAGCAAATCTTTGCCTGGAGGGTTCAGCCACTTGGAGGCACGATGGCCTCAGGCTTCAAGGGGCTCCTGGGCTTTGGGGGTCACCACCACCACTGAAATCCTATTCCCCCCCCAAATCTTGCATTGCAGATTGTGTTTTGAAGTAAAGGTAAGGTCTGGGATGGGTTAATGGTTCAGAGTTATTTTTCCTTCCTCTTTAGCTGGAATTTTAATCTCAGACACTTCAGTGGCTGCTGAGGATGGTTTAACCCCTCCTGTTCTTTCCCACTGATGCCCGGTGTGATCCTTCACTGTGGAAATCCCTTTTCCTTAACCAACATCAGCAAAGCTTTGCTGGAATGACATATCTGAGAAGCTGGTGGCCCCCATCAGTGTCCCCCATTGTGACCTGCCCAGGACCCTCAGTTAAGCCAAGACTTGACCAAGGAAGGACTTGGGACCAAGGGAAGGGCAGGGAGCATCTCCCCACCTTGGGAAGGAGCCACCCAAGCCTGGCACTGTGTGGTGGCCCTGGTTCCTCACAGTGGCTCAAGGCTGGTTACCAAATGTCCTCACTAAAGCCTCTGGCCCAACAGGTGGCAAATATTTCACCACTCCACGCTTTGGTTAATGAGTATTTCTGCCTGGGAATAATGGGATGAGGAGCTCTGGATCTGCTATTGATCCAAGCAAAGGAATCAAAACCCAACTGCCCTGTGTCAGTGGGAACACTGGGTGATCCACCACGCTCCACTCCTGGGGCTTTCTCCCCACCTTTAATGTTTCTTTTCCTTGCAGGAGAAAGCCCAACATCTCCTTTCCACACCCAGGTCAGAATTTTAGGAGTGGTTCCTAAAGTGGTGTCTGGGACAGTGGTGGGATGGTGTCTGCTGGTCCAGGTTGTTTGCAGAGCCCAGGCTGGGATCCCAAAGCTCAACTGGGACCCCACAAACCAGACTGCCATTGTGTTGGGAGACCTGGCTCAATGCTGACAGACAGCTCCTGGTGTGTAACACAAACATGAGAGGGGAAAAAGGGATCTCAGAACTCTTCAATTCTTAGGATCTGGGGATTTTTTGGCCCAGGTTTAACTGCAATGTGCTACAAACAGTGCAAGGATGATGTGTTGGTGTTATTTCCCAAGGTCCTGTTGCTCTTTACTAATCAAGCCAAATAGGGAACCTACTGATGATTGGCTCCTTTGCTCTTTTTTCCTTCTCCTTTCCCTCAATACCACCCCAAAGTGCAGCCCAAGGGTGCCCCTTCCCCACCCCACCACACAGTCTTCCCCCACTTTGTTCCTCTTGAGGCTGAGGAGATCAACCAGAGCTTTGCTCTAGATTTCCTTCAAAACCAGCAGAATCAACCAAATCGCGCCCAAACAGAAGTGCCAACACCCAACCTGACAAACTCCTGGGACCAGCCAGTGGGAGGGAAAGTCCTCCTGGGATCCCTAGGCCTGTTACTCCCCACCTGCCCCATGCCCAAGGGAAGGAGCTCCAGGAGCAGGAGCCAAGCTGGGAGACTCCACCGAGAGCATGGAACACTTTTGGCACACTTGAGGCAAAAAACAAAACCCAACCAAGCCTTTGTCTTTAAAAAAAAAAAAAAAAAAAAAAAACAACCCAAAAAAGTCCCAAAAACCTTGTTTCTATGCTGGGTTTAGTGACAAGGATTTAAAAACAAACTGGCCACAAGCATTGTCTGCAAATCCAAACTGCCTCTGCTGCCCTCAACATAACTTATTGCTCTACTTGGACACCCCGAGGGGGGATGTCACTAGCTCCCTGTCCCCACGTCCCAGGTAAGCCAAGCCCCCCCAAATGACCCCGATGCCCACAGCCTCTGTGTGCCTGGTGTCCCCCATCCTGCTCCATGCCAACTGTGGATCACCTTCCCTGCTGTCACCTCTTCTCAGGTGCCTTCCCGTGAAGGAGGCGACGTGTTTATTGCTATTGCTTCCTCCTCTGCCACCCCTCCAAGCAGAGCAGCCAGACATCCTCCCCCTCCCCGGCCTTTCTCTCTGGTGCTGGTATTTGTGCTTGGATGAACATTCCTCCTGGAAGTCTTGGAGCTGCAACCCAAAGAATGGGAGGGGGACACCTCAACTGCCATGGAGGCAGTGCAGTTTGGTTTTACCCTGCCAACACCATGGCTGCAAGCTGAAGCCACCCATCCTGCCCTCGCCCTGCCTTGAAGACTCATGTCCATCAACCAGACACCCTCTTTTCCCACACCACCATACTCTGGAGAAGCTCCTCAGACCAAACCCTAAACCTGGATGAGCTCCTCAGACCAAACCCTAAAGCTGGAGAAGCTCTTGACCAAACCCTAAACTGAGAGAAGTTCCTCAGACCAAACCCTAAACCTGGAGGAGCTCCTCAGACCAAACCNTCTCGGAGCCCGTGGAGGGCGGCAACAGGGAGCTGGTGCCCTTTGACAGCGATGACACGGACGATGAGTCCTCGCCCAGCCCCTCCGGGACGCTGCAGAGCCAAGCCAGCCACTCCACCATCTCCTCCAGCTTCGGCAGTGAGTCCTCCCCTGCCCCTGCTTAGGGAGAAATGCGCTTTTTAGCCCGAAAATTATGGGCAGCTGCATTGTTTTGTCCTCTCTGCTTTGTATTCCTTGGGGGAATCTGCAGGTGGAGGCTTTTGGGCCTGGGAAAAGAGATGTTGAGAGGCATCGGCCCAACAGCGTGGTTCTGAGATGGGGGGGACTTTGGGTGAAACCTCGTGGGTTTTGGGGCTCAGCATGCCTGGGCTTGACATCACCCATGATGGTCTCTTCCCCATGCCTTTGGAGGTCGTGGTCTGACCCATTCCATCCTCCTCCTCTTCCTCCTCCGCAGATGAGGAGATTCCCAGCTGCAAGGAGGCAGCGGTGGAGACGACGAGCTCGGAGGAGGAGCAGGAGCCTGGCTTCATGCCCATCCCTGGCACCTTCGGGCAGAGCCGGCGCGGCGAGAGCCCCACGGACGGGCGCGCCCTGCGCCGCTCCAGCCGCGGCTCCTTCACCCGCGGCAGCCTCGAGGACCTGCTCAGCCTCGACCCCGAGGCCCACCAGAGCTCCATGTGGCTGGGCACCGAGGATGGCTGGTAGGTCCCCGGGGTGGGAATTCCTGCCTGGAATTCACGCCAGGCCCTGGGGGAGCCTCAAGCTTGGCTCTCCTCCTGCAGCATCCACGTGTACCAGTCCTCGGACAACATCCGGAACAGGAAGAACAGCATGAAGATGCAGCACGCTGCTGCCGTCATGTGCATCCTGTGAGTGGGGAAGGAGGGGGATTTTCAGCTCTGGGGATTTTGGGCTTCTGCAGCTGGATGTCAAAGGTGGTTTGTGCCCACAGGTACCTGGATAACCAGGTTTTTGTGTCACTGGCCAATGGGGAGCTCGTTGTATACCAGCGGGAAGCAGGTGAGGTTGGATTTGGGATGTCAAAAATGCTGCCCCAAATTGGTGGCTGTGGGAGGGTGGCTTGGGCAGCCCCTGGGGAGGGATGCTCGGGGTGGCATCCCTGGAGGGATGCTGGAGACACCACCTCAGAGGCAGGTGAAGGTGGGCATTCTTCTGCCGCTGGAACCCCATGGTGGCACCAGTTTATGTCCCCTCTGAGGGGTGACCTGGAAAAAGTTGTCTTCAGCCACCACACCCCATTGTACATTGAGTTGGACTTGGTTTTGGGAACACTTTAACTCTCCCCACCCTCTCAGGTCGTTTCTGGGACCCCCAAAACTCCAAGTCCCTGTCGCTGGGCTCACCGGGCAGCCCCATCACCAAGATGGTGGCGGTGGCAGGGAAGCTGTGGTGCGGCTGCCAAAACCGAGTCATCGTCCTCAACACCACCACACTGGCACAGGAGGTATGGGGAGCAGCAATGGGAGGTGTGATG